CCAGCGAACTTGCAGTTCGGAAGATCTTTGTGTACATTGTCAGTATCAAAATAGTTGGTAACACGAAACCGACAGTGAAAACGGAGACTCTATATGCTCTTTTAAGCGTTATCGATCTTTGCATTTGCGAGAGTGCCGCCATGATCACTGCTACAAGCCATGCTGTTGATATCGAGGTTTTGTACATACGAGTCGTTAACGTGCCGTAGGTAAATGGCCTCGAAATTACATAGCAACGTTCGATAGCAATTGCTGTAAAATGAAAGATGGAGGCCAAGGCACTAAATATATCAAAACACAAATAAATCTCCGGCAAATGTATCAGGATATTCTGGAGATTAACAAACGTGAAATCAGTCCATATCGACACGGATACAGCTCCAACCAGTAAATCTGAAACAACCAGGCTCACGATAAAGATATTAATGCGTGTGTGAAGAAAAGCATTGCGTCTGTAGGTTGTTATCACGAGAGAGTTTCCTACAATGATGAGAAAAGCTAAGGCCTGAAAAAACACCAGCAAAACATACGATGGTGAGCGCGATGAACCAGGAACTTCGGAAGTCGTATTCATCACCTCTTTTTTTTTTCAAACGAATGAATGATTAATCGGCTTTTTTCTTCAGATGATAGTGGGAATCAATAGAATTTTCAAGGTTAAGCGAATTTTTGTCAAGGTTGATTTCATTAGTTCTAACAGTGAGGTCGTTGTAATCCTATATTCGCCTGTCACTCTTATATGCGCGGTTCAAATAAACGACCCTTCGTTTTAATCTCTTATTGTTTCAACACCTTGCACACAAGCCTTCTAGCCAACGTTAAGTTCACACGAAATGTCAAACGTAGTGGGGAACAAGAATTGTTAGTTTTAATACGTAGGACAAAGTTTACTCTCTATTTGCTGCACAACAACGGCAGCGTCGTGATTATACTAACAATTACCAGTCCCCCCCCCCTCCCTTCCCCTCTATCCGACCCCCCTTCCAAGGGGCTAAATGATGACCAATCCTTACTATTGAGAGTGGTAGCGTAATCGAGCGCAAAATTCAGAGGTCTTTGTCTCGATTCTAACTGAAGTTAGAAGTTCGGGTTTTTTCTCTGACCCACGCTCGTGAAAACAAATGACGTACAAACAAGATCTGAAATTAAAATTCTTCTTGCAAAAGGGAGTTACGAGGTCCATCCTTTGTCCTTCGCCCTAAATACATAGAATAAACAACCAAAATAAATAGCTAAGACGTTACGGATAAAAAGATATCTAGATCTCAGCTTAATTAACTAACAGACAGAGTGCTTGATAACACCTGAATCTACAGTCATATTGAAATAGTTGTCCTGAGAGATCCTTTCATATCGTGACACAGATATCTTTGAATTGTTCACGTTTTTCATAGGGTCACCCGAAGTGCATATGATAACTGACTCATCGCGTGAGTGAATGATGTGCATAGCCTCGTACTTGTCTTCGTGAAGACATAATGGCCACTTAGTAGTTCACTCCAGATACTTGGCGAGGTCAGTTTAAAGTAGCATATGATCTGTAAGTGGGTAGCGAAGTAAAGGTGGGGGGGGGGGGGTGGGACTGATCCCGTTTCACTCACAAATTTCAGAAAAATTCACGCTTTACTCATATAAAAAGGGACAACTTCAGATCTCTCTTCTTACGCACAAGGATTTCATAGAAAGTTTGAAGTTTTCTTGAACTCAAACAAAAAAAGTCAGTGGGTAACGTTTATTTCAGGAGGCAAATCATGCCTCACGCTACTTCATAAATTCAAGAATCACGCTGGCTTTACGTAAAGTTCGTGTGTCAGACATCAGTTAGTTTGACCTTAATCACGTATGACCTTAAACCCTTTATCGCCCACCCTGTAAGAGAGCACCGTTACGCACAATGACTTTAATTAACGCTTCAGTTTTGCTCTTAAGTTTCAATATAGTCCCATTCTTACTGACATTAATTCCGCCTTTCGCTTTTTGTTTAATGCAAAAATAGTTCGGCAAGAAATAACTACTTTCAGTTGGCTATCAGACTCCGGATAGGTAACAATACTGTTAAAGCAAGCAGTTTCCATAAGTTCTGTCTATAATTTTCATTGCCTTTTCTCTTTTATTTTCAAAGGAAATAATCAATTATCGCGTCTTGTTAATTCACAGTTCAGTTCTGTCACCGTGTTTGTTCATTCGATAGAGGAGGAAACTTTTGGTAAGTTTGAAAGCATGTGTTTGAATTTTTCTCGTCATCTTTTGGGATAAGGGTAAAATAGAAATGCTTTCCACAAAAATGCAGGGCTCTCGAACTAAACGATGGAGTCGTAGTATTAAGTGAAAAAATTGTTTCAGTGCCACCGTAATAATATTTTTGTCTTAATGGAGGGTGTCAGTTAATCCGGATTGTGACCCAAGAAGTTAAAATCCTAGCAAAGAATATAAAATTATTCCTCTCCCTGAAAATCGTAAATTATACGGAAAGGCGAGCTTTTTCGGCTTTTTTTTTTCGGCTTTTTTTTTTTGGCTTTGCCCTTTGCCAAAAGGGTACACAAACTAATCTACTGTCCACACCGTCCTCAGCTCAAAGTGAACTTGTTTTGCTATTACTTTCATCAAACTCGTTTTGCAGAATTTTTTTTCAGCGAACATTTTTTTATTTAGTATTTTTCACCTTTTCGTGCTTTTTACCTTATGTGCTTGTATTTTATTGACTTTTAATAACCTCCACCTATCACTTTCAACGCTTCACTGAGGGCTTAGACTTCAACTTACGATCTGAGGAAAAATAATACAGCTTCTCTATCATCTACAAGCTGTAAAAACAATACTCAAGAAAAGGTATATTGAATCAAAGAAATGTTTCGTAACGAAATTTCACCTTTGGGTTCAGTGCTAAGTAAGTCGTGCGATCAAAGAAAGTGTTGTTTCGCCTTGAGGCAATGATTTCTCATCGCTATTTACGGAATTTTTAGAACAAAACAAAGAAATAATAAGGCAGTTTACGAAGTCACGAAAATAAAATTCTGTATTTTCACTTTTATCAGAGCCAGACACAACCACTATAACAGATTTAGTTGAGAATGGTGAATTGATCTGAAATGAACGTTCATTGAATTCAATCACGTTTAAACCTGAATGTTTCGGTCCAATTCTTCAGGCCGCAGCTAAGCTCGTGAAGCAGGTTTTTGATTTTCTCAGTTGCCTGTTTTAATCAAGTCTTGCTGACTTATCGAGAAACATTTTGTCGCTTAATTCTTTGCATTTCACCTGTTCGGGTTGAAAACTGTTTTTTCGGTCCCTAGCAATACCACTCAGTCAATACTCTGCAAGCGCCTTCCACGCTTAGTTGAAGATTCAAACGTAAATAACTGCCGGCGGCTTTCATTAGCACCTTTAACATATTCAAGCCAAAAATCATTGGATTATTCAACGAAAAGGGCACCTCAAAGGGATAAAGCACCAAGTTTTAAACCAGCTGAGTTTTAATGTTAAGGTAAGAGCCTATTGTGTTCTTGTGACATACATATAAAAGAATTCACGACCTTTCCCTGTGGCAAAGTGTTATTTGTAAGCCGCTTCAAACAAACAAACAACAAAACAGTTCTAGAAGTCACGATGTGACATTGGCAGTTTTGTTCTCGTCGAAAGATCACATATAAAGCTATTGTGTTAAAGTTTCATTCTTAACATAGTTGTAAATCATTATAAAGGAATTGTTTTATTATTTTGAAAATGGGAATCGTCCGCATAAGAAATATATGTTAATCGCCAGCCGGGGAGGTCCATATTGAGAAAAACTGTGCCCTTGGTCTTGAGGTACTCAAGACCAAGGGCACAGTTTTTTTCCAATACGGACCGACCTAGGTTGATGGATAACGTTTTTATTTTTTTTTCTTAAACTTCACGAAATTCTTTCCAAAAAAACCCGAATGATTTAGGGCTGTAAATACGGCAAGATCTTCAATAAACGGAACAATTTTTTAGCGAGTAAACGTTAGTTGAAATAGAAGTTGTGCAAATTAAAGAGAGATGCTTCACCGAAACATTTTGCATTGCGTAATGATAAAGGTGATTTGAAAGGTTTCCAAACAAACTTTGAAACTTTTTTTTTTTTACAATTATATCTGTCACAATATGACACCTGTCGATAAGAAAGCGCGTAAGAATAAAAAAAACGCATGCACACTTTTGAAAAAACGGAACTAATTTAGCTGGGAATGTCGCGATGCTTATGTTTTCTTCAAAAACAGTCAATGATCTTTCGGAAAGTAATATTCACTCTCATCGACGATAAATTAATGTTCGAAGGTTTACCTCTGTTTAGTTATTAAATGGCAAGAAAAGTAATTGTAAGTAAATTCAAATTTTGTATTATGAAGTTGTGAGAGTTTGCTCGTTTGTTTACTGCAATGGCGTGTGTAAATCTGGTTGTTCCTCCACAAAACTAAATTCGAATAGTCGGCCGGATAGTCAGTCGGTTCGTATTAGGTAAAACTGTGCCCTCTGTCTTGATTACCGCCCGAGACCGTAGACCTCAAGCACAGTTTTTCCCAATACGGACCTCCCGGCTGGTGAATAACATATATGTACACGGACTGCGCTAAGAACCAATCAGGTCGTAGAGTTCGTTACCGTGCCCTCTGAGAAGAAAATAAGTAAGAATGTCATGAATAGAAATCATGTATGCTATTCTTTGAACGATAAAATTCATGTTTTTAGTTGTTTCCGTTATTCTTACAATCTTCTTTTCTGTTTTTCTTTAAATTCTTATTGCTGATGTTTATCTTCATCTTGCACCTTGTTTTTTATGGTTTATTTTTGTCTACTTGTTGATGTTGTGTTTTTTCCTTTGTCCGGCTTTTTTTTCTCGTATCTCTTCCTTTTTTTTCCCCTCATTCCGCTTCACAGGTTATCCTTTTTCAATAAATTGTTTTCTATTTGCTCGTGATTTTCAAGAACTTTTTTTACAATTCTTTCATCTATTTATATATTTCTTTGTTGCCACAGATCCACGAGAACCTAATTATCAATATGAAGAGGGCAATTCTTTTGGCGACATTTATGCTTGTTTTACATCAAACAAAAGGTAACGCATTCCTCTCGTCTTTATTCATCTTGATTCAAAAATTATTATAACCATTTACTATTCCTCGTAGGCTTCATGAATTGACGATTATATCTAAGCATGACGAAAAGCAATTATGAGATAAAAGAATTTAAATCTGCGATTTCCTCGCCGGTTTAATTTGGATTCCTTAACATTTTATCATTATAAAGTGTCTCTTTTCTCACAATTACAATTAAATGGAATGCATTATTACCCATCATAAATGAAGGAGTTGGAGTTAAAAAATTGTTTTTCACTCCCTCTCAGGTCAGACGTCGGCCTCAGTGACTTGTAACTCCAATCACACTGTGAGTATAGTGATCTCAAACGTGGATGATGTAGAATTTTGGGACCCACCAGAGTGGAGAACTTCGACAAACACTGCAGCGTGTCAACCAACACTTAATGATGGTGCTGAAACAGTTACCTATGAAGCTCTACACCTCCCTGACTGTGCTTACGAGTCAAACCAGAAAGATGGAGAAGTTCAATACATCCTCAAAATCAGCGCTGAAAAGACTGCAGGTGATCCAGTTACAAAGCAGTTGCGCACTTATGACCACCTGTACTACGTCACGTGTAACTACGATAACGCAGGCAGAGCTTCGGCGAGTTTTGTGCCGATCAGGAACCGAGCAGATAACGACACAGGTATGCAGCTCTGGTTAAGATAACAGCATGTATAATTTACATAAACAATCTTAGAATGTATTCGTGCAAAGAGGAGATCCCTGAGGAGCGTCTATCAAACCTTTGCCACCGAATATATTGACCAGCCTTCCTTCAATGGCTGATGGTAAAAAAAGAATCAAATAATCCCTTTGTCAAGATATGGTGGATTTGATTTCCATTTGATACAAAAAATAAAGTGGCCGAGAAATATTTATAAGAGCCTGGCATGATTTTGAAAGACAGCCATGCATGCGTACAAAATGCATTCGTATTTCGTTTTGAGATAGAGAAAGTTTTACTTTTCATCCTTAACGCTACGGAACTATCCAGAGCATGCCGGTCCAAAAAGACTTCTTATCATCAATTAACCTGAAAAAAATGTAGAATTTTTAAACTGTTTTTTTTCGTCAATTAGTGATCTGTAACTGCTACTGGAGTAGAAGTTATAGATCATTGAAAAAATATCTCATCTGCACTTCATTCAGTTTGCTAATCTAGCCTTGCTTTTAGCAGAACGAGCAAAATCCTTGAAAAATGCAAATGTGTTCGAGAAAGTCTTTTAAAATCTCTTTTGTTTTACTTTTCCTTACTGGCTTTTGTGGTCTCTTTTGTCATTTTCAGATGACGGATTTTTTACCTTTTCTCTCATGGCATATCTGGACGACATACATAGAACTCCCTTTAAAATTTCTTTTGCTTTGTTTTACTTTTCCTTACTGGCTTTTGTGGTCTCTTTTGTCATTTTCAGATGACGGATTTTTCACCTTTTCTCTCATGGCGTATATGGACGACATACATAGAACTCCCGTTTACGGCTCTGTTGATCTGGATGTAGAGATTTTCTTCAAAGCTGAAGTCGAGACTCAAAGCAATGCACCCAACCTTGACTTGTATCCTGTGCGATGCTATTCATCACAAAGCGATAATCCAGATGATACTGGTGCTAACTTTACTCTTATAAGCAACGGGTAAGAATTTCTGTGATAAAAATTTGCACGTTATAAATGACTAATATATAATTACGACAACAATGATAATAACAGTGAATATTAATTTTATAACATTTAAGACAGAGCAGGACCCACCTCATCGAAGAGCTCCTCAGTAAGTCCAGCACCTCAAAAAAAGGAAATGTAAAAATATCTGACGAGGTTAAAAATGAAAAACATTTAGAAAGATGTGGATTTGATTCGGCATGTAGGCATACAAATGAGCAACTGAATTACTTCAAAATTTAAATTTCAACCGTGATTTATGAGGTAATCGCATCATAATTCAGTTTATTCCAATAATCAATACTTTTGTGTGTGAACCGTCGTTTAACTCAGTTTGTGTGGACCGTTTTGGTATCATTATTACTTAATGTGGTTCTCAATCTAAGTGAAAGATGGCTGCCAGTGTATATCCCGGATAGACTGACACTTAACTTTATTAAAAAGAGTTCTGCTAGAGTTTCTGTGAGATATTAACTGACTTCTGATCAAACATGAGTGAGTAACACTGTTTATTTCTATAAGAAATAAAGCTTCCCTTAAATAATGAAACCCATTCACAATTTTTTTCAGTTTCTTGCTAATAAATGGTAAGCATCCCAAAACCCTTATTGGAACCTCCCATTGTAGTTTTCATAGGAAGCTATTATTGTACGTTGAGTGCCTGGTATCAACTCAGGCAAGAACATACAGTCGATGCTATGGATTTACCTGGATCTTGTCCATTAAAGATAAAATGTGTCACCTCAAATAGTAAGAGGAATTATGCTGACATTTCTTAATTATACCATTTTTCATCATTTCTTTATAGTTGTGGCAGCGATGATGTCAGCGAAGACCTCAGCGACACATTGTCATACAGTTGTACCGAAAGCAGCAAATATGAAATGTTCTCACTCAAAAGTTATCGGTATTTTGGGGCAGAAGCAGGAGCTTCTGTTTACATCCACTGCGATTTCAGAGTTTGCTTGGCAGATGTAGCCTATACCAAATGTCAATGTCCAGATAATGCTGCCACTTGCGTAGGTGATCCTACCACTGATGTTCCTCCGAGACCGGTGCTGAGGCGTAGACGTCGTTCAATCTCTGATTCTGTGGATGAGCCACAGATTTATCATGTTGTCTACGGTCCATTCACCTTTAAGCAAGAAGAACTGAACAAAGATGAAGGTAAATTATGATTTACAAGGCTTTTAGTGATGGGACAGGAATTTTTGTTTGGTGCTTTCCACATTCTCTGCTAACCAAGACTGGTTTTCCATGATAACTGTCCAAGTTAGAAATAGAGGCCACACGGGGCAAATTGTAGAACGTGGAAGATAACTTGAATACGTCAGATATGATATAAACGGAACAATATGCAATATCATATAGCGTAATGAAGACTATAGAAAATTAACAAAGGCTAGACAAGAACCTCCAGAAAGACTATGGAAATGTTCCTTTTCATATATTTTCTGAGTTTCTCTGCCTCTACTGATAAAAACGGAACGCTTTCACATTATAATCTACTTACGCCCTCGATAATTTAACTATTGTTACCTATTATTAGCCTGAAATCTATTAGCTTCATTTCAGCTGCATCTGAAGACCAAGAGGAGACCAGCCAGTCTTTCCAGAAGGTGGCAATTGTTGGAGCAGTATGTGGTGTTGCGGCTGTAACTGTCATCTGCGCTACTGTCTACCTTGTCATTCGCTATCGCAACAAACGCTTGCAAAATGGAGATCTGCACGTGGTCACCTAAACTGCAAACACCAATAAGCTGTATTGTGCAAACGCACCAATATTATGGTTTTTGAATTTACCAAGAAATACTCATTTGAATGAATGATGTGTCTTATGAAGCAACTTATAGTTTAGCAAGATTCAGTTGAGTTGCGGATGTTGATTTAGACATAACATTTCCCTTTTTTAAACGAATAAATGATTGATCGGCTTTTTTCTTCAAATGATGGTGAGAATCAATAGAATTTTCAAAGTCAATCGGATTTTTGTCTTATCTTTAGTGTTAAGGTTGATTTCATTAGCTGTAACAGTGAAGTTGTTATACGCGATTCAGATAAAGGACTCTTAGTCTCTCATTGTTTCAACTTCTTATAACTAGCACACAAGCCTTACAGACAACGTTAAGTTCACACATAACTTCAGGCATAGTGAGTCCCACGTATCGTAAATTTTTATCACGTATGACAAACTTTATACTCTATATGCCGGACAGCAACGGCAGCGTCGTTATTTTTCTAACGCTTTTATGATATCTAACTTAATGCTAGTCTTGTTAAGTATACCCAAGTCGCATGCGGGCCTAATTACTTTGCAATTCAACGGGCTTAAGCCGTCTTGTTGGTGAGGCACCAAACCAGTATAATGTTTTAGAATATTTAGAAATCTCGAGCAGCATCGCAATAAAATATAAGCACCTTGGTGACTTAAGTATACAATCTCTGTGGTACTTTTTTCATGAATATTTGTATGCTAAAGAACGGAAAGGCACTCTTCCTTTATTTCGCGATCAGTCTCAGTTTTAGCGCCATAGAGTGTTGAAACCTGAAACGAGCGTTCGAATTTGTTTCAGGTCACACGCTTTTCAGGAGGAAAAAGGGAGAGTTAGTCGTTGCTAAAATAGTATAAAATGGGGAAAACAGAAAACTGACTGCCAATGAATGGGCGATCATTACAATACTACAGGGCCTTAGGGAAAATCGGGTAAATTTTATTGTAACATAACCAAAATACACAATTTCGATACAGCGTATCTCTAAGATCTTAAGCCGAAAGTTGTCGATTTTACTTTGGGAAAGGTCCAGTTCAGTCGATCACAGTGGCGTGTCAGCCATTTTGTTGGACGAAGAAGTGTTTTGTTTACGTTCTCTCCTTATACTGACTCCGAATAGCTTAAAAACACGTTTCCGCATTTCGCTGTGTCTGACGATAAAAACCAGCGGATTCACTGCGCTGTTTGAATAATGCATCCATTTTACGAATATCACTAACGCAGTCATACCGTCTCCTTTAGGCAAACAGCCTGCACAGAACTCAGCCAGCATTGAAAGAACAAAGAAAGGCGTCCATGCCATGAGGAACAAACCTGTTAAAATGCTGAAGGTCAAGGCAACCTTTCGCTCTTCACGGACTTTGCACGCAACGGCTTCTGCCGTGTCCAAGCTTGGGGTTCTACGAACCAGCGAACTTGCAGTTCGGAAGATCTTTGTGTACATTGTCAGTATCAAAATAGTTGGTAATACGAAGCCGACAGTGAAAACGAAGACTGTATATGCTCTTTTAAGCGTTATCGATCTTTGCATTTGTGAGAGTGCCGCCATGATTATTGCTGAAAGCCATGCTGTTGATATCAAGATTTTGTACACACGAGTCGTTAACGTGCCGTAGGTAAATGGCCTCGAAATCACATAGCAACGTTCGATAGCAATCGCCGTAAAATGAAAGATAGAGGCCAAGGCACTAAATATATCAAAACACAAATAAATCTCCAGCAAATGTATCGGGATATTCTGGAAATTAACAAACGTGAGATAAGTCCATATCGGCACGGATACAGCTCCGACCAGTAAATCTGAAACAACCAGGCTCACGATAAAGATATTAGTGCGTGTGTGAAGAAAAGCATTGCGTCTGTAAGTTGTTATTACGAGAGAGTTTCCTACAATGATGAGAAAAGCTAAGGCCTGAGAAAACACCAGCAAAACATACGATGGTGAGCGCGATGAACCAGGAACTTCGGAAGTCGTATTCATCACCACACTCCTTTACCGAGCAAAGAAGATTTAAAGATGGTTTTGAGGGCTCCACCTTAAAAATTGGAGAAGTGTTCAATGCAAAAACAATTTCCTCCTGATGAATGTCTTATCGGGCAGCGCTTTCCTTTGATAGTCTAATTACCTTTCAAATTTTATTCAAATAAATAGTTAAACAAAGAAATGCAAAATCTTCCGTCAAAGAGCATAGCAGTAGCAGAATACGTCTTGTTCAAAAAATCTTTCACTCTTCATAAAAGACTTGTCCAATTTTTTGAGTACCTTTCGCACAATTCTTGCGGCCAACGAAAAAGGGCCTTTTTTTTAAAACATGACCAGCATAATCAAGAAGCATCCGGTTTGAAAGTATACTTGAATTGCCACAAGACAGGAAATATTTGAGACGCAAACGACCTTTGATGACATCCGTGGAAAATCTCCTCGGCTTTTCATAGAATCCATCCTTTAGTAAAACTGTCAATCTTAGGTGAAGTTCACCGACGCTTTGTAAGGCAAATTTGTCCGCCACAAATCAAAGTGTCTGTTGCCCTTTCACTGCTGAAAGATCGACACTCAAAGCCTTTTTTTATCCGGTTATAAAACAGTAAGTGTATTTCTTATCCTTAAAATTCATAACTTTGACGATAAATTGAAACCACGATGGGGGCTCCGTAAGGTTTATTTAATATCTCTATAATTCAGTATTGTAACGTTGTTAGAGCACCTAATAAATGACGTTTCTTTCACATCTCAAAAATATGATTTTTAAAATATTACCGAGAGGAACTTATGGCGTTTCATTATTAATGAAAGAAACCAGAACCTTTCGAATTCGTAATTTAATATTGATGGCAAGGGTACTTTTAAATATCTTTTAAATATCTTTTAAAGGATCTAGAAACTCTAAGACAAATGCGGTTGCATAAAGCTGCTCATTTACTGTCTAAGCGCTCAATATTCATGTCTTTTTTGAAAGAAAGAAAAATTTTTGTTTGGATGAGTAAAAACGTAAAAAAAAAAGAAAAAAAAGTATAATTGAGTCCCCATGAAAAGGTGAACAAAAATAGTCCAGATGCCTCATGCGCAAATAGAGGGGAATCATCACAAGCAAAACTAATATTCGTAGAAGGAAATCATCTCCTCCTTACACCATAAACTAAGCAAAACATGTCAATGCAATTCGTCATACCATAGAAATTACACTAAGGTATGGCTCTTTATGCCGGCGATGGGCGATGCGATAATTTATAACGTGATGTAGCGTGATCTAACGTGACATGACGCATTGCGGTATGATTTGATTTCATGTGATGTGATATGATGTGATGTAACGTGATATAACGACGTTACGTGATGCGATATGATATGAAGTGACATGAAGCGATGCAATGTGATATGATGTGATGTGATGTAAGGTTATCTAACATGATTTGACGTGGTCCGATGTGACGATGATGTGACCTGATGTGATTCGGGTGGTTCCACTTTACTGCCGCCGTATTGGAGAAAATTAATCAAGAAAATTCGTAATTCGTTAAATTTATCGAACGCGATACTTTGCCTCGAAAGTAATCTTCCAAAAAGATATCAATTGGCTTCATGGCAATGTACTTAAAATGAACGGTATCGTGTTCCTTGTAATGTGCTACCTCGGGTCCTCCGGTCCCTTCTGGGTAGGACCTGGTAAATGGGTAAACATCGAGGACCTCGAGGTTAGCCTGGCACATAAGGGAAGTGGCAAAGGTATTGTATAGTATCACTCTCTGAAAAGAAAAAGAGATTTTGGTGAGCTAAGTAACCTCCCCTCTTTGTACATCAAAAGCATTGATTTTGCAATCAAGGTCAAGATTGCAAAAAATTTTTTTTTAGTTTTTGCTTCGCAAAAAAAGGTCTGTTAAACCCACCATTATTTTCAGTACTGATTCAGTATTGTTCAAGACAGTACGAAAATCTCAAAGTACTTGGACACGCTAGAAAGCCTGGGAATGGATGGTGAAAAAAAAAAAAGTATTAAACTAAGTATTCGCCTACCGTTGGGTTCAGAAATCGCTGCCAGTCACTCTTTAGTCGACTTTCAATGTCTTTCTCTTTATTCATTGAAGTTGTGGTTTTCCAAATAACGCGAGTCTTGTACCTTAATTCACCATTTCCCTTGTTCCTTTCGTTTAAAAGATCTATCACTCCTTTTAGCAGAATCCGATAGTTGGCTAAGCTTGTGCTCTCCATGTAATGCAGGCCCAAATTCAGAATCATTGCGCTGTTTTCGTTCATCTCAGGTCGTTCCAGGACTTCTCGGATGTGAACTAAGATTTGCTGGGGTTCAAAATCCATGTCGTCCCAGGCTACTGGCTGTATGCTCGGCCACGGGTACACCCACATTTTACTTAAATTACAAATTTTGAAAACTTCATTGCACAGCGGCCCATCCTTCAATGATACGTATAATCTCTCAGCATTTGAGTCACCGAAAAGCCACAATGTCCCTAGTTTACGAGGAGACGTACTTTTGAATCGGGAGTGGTTAGAAATATCTGGATAAGAGAAAAATACACATTTGGATGGATAGCATCAATCATATAAATGAAAGGGATTTGGCCATGACAAGCTCACTGTTTCTGGATCAAATGGAAATTTTAAGCTTTGGCTTTCCATTTTAGGGGCAATACGGGACAATAGGTTTTAGATTAGGGACGAGCCAATAAAAAACCAAAACCACGCGTTACGCGTGCGCTGCGCTCACCCGTGAGCTATCCAGTTGAAGACTCGAAGAGACATACCATATCTGCGCGCGCCCATATATCTATATATCTCTATTTTATTTATCCTCAACTATATATCGTAATAATCAATGATCTTGCAGCTGTGTAATTTTCTGAATTAGTTAAGGCCAGTCGAGCCTGTTCTCGTCACTAGGGACCTCAAACGATCATGACGGCAAAGCCGAGGAAGACCTCGATAAAGTTAAAATTTTGCGTTCACTGCCACTTACAGCGCCATAACTCAAATTCAGCAAAACGTGCGAGTAGCGTTGAGTTCTCGGAAACACTGATTGGGTTTTTGTTCTTAGACTTGCGCACTGATTTTGGTGATTTCATGGTATTGTTTTGCAGAGGAAACTCAAGAAAAGTTCAAAGCCTTAAGCGCATATACTGAGTTAAAGTTCTGTCCAATATATCTTCTGTTTTGCCACTTCCTCGTTGCCTTCGCCGTTCAAGGTCTCCATCAACCAACTGCCAAGTCACTTCACTACTCAGAAAAGACAAAAATTGACGTGCGGACGTGGACTCTTGAAGAATTTACACTTGTTACGTACCTGTGAGGTAAGGTCTCCAATTTTTGCCAAGCCACCTCCCAAACCCATCCCACATGAAGTTACACTTCACTCCACAGGTCAAGTCAAAGTCTAGGAGGAAACTTATCCTCTGTGAATTCATTTTTGATTGCCTGTTTAGTCTGTTTATTAAATAGGTTCCTATGAAAAACATTTACACACATCATAAGATGTATTTTCGCATTTTCTCACAAAATTGGATATTAACTATGGTTGGATGTAGCGGCCATAAGTGGAAAGTAATAGCTAGGCTATAATCTAGGATGCTTCATCCGGGACTTTTGTGGAACTCTTCACATTACATGTACATTTGAAAGACTTGTGTGAAGAAATAAAACCAGTTTTATTAATCCTTCGAGACCTAGGAGTGACTAGCATCTGGAATGATGTTACATGTACCTGGTAATTTTATTGGGTGTTTTCCTTGAGAACGAGAAAATCCTCTCTAAATGTCTGCTGTGGGAGTAAAAACTCCTTAGGACATACCTATAGCCAGATATATTTAAAATAACCACTTTTTGCCAATTCAGGCGAGCACACAGAATCTCCCCTCCCCCCTCTCACAATCTTGGTAAAAGTGAGCAATTGCCACAGGGCCTTAACGAAGCGCACATAATTCAGCATTGTTTGGGGGAGAGGTGGGGAGATAGTTCGACATTAGTACTATATATCCCGTTGAGTGTTCCATGACTTTTAACCTGCATATTACTTGATGGCTTATTTCTAGATTGTCGTAGCACCTTCGCCTTGGAAGCGAGAATTACCCAATGCTTATTTTCATCTTTTCCTTGAAATAACTAAGAAGTAATAGATCCTATCCTACCTCCAGCTGTAGGTAACGGAATGTTGATCATAATAAGCTTTCCATCTTGAAAGCGTTGAAGAAGGTAATCATCTCTGGCTCGGTTCTTTCCAAGCATTCCTTCTTTCTGTAATTTACCATGCGAATTCCCTGAGGAAAAACAATACTTTTAAAATAAGGATTCTCTCCTTTGGAACTTCCATTTAATGAAAGAAGCGGGTAGGATGAAAAACAACTGCGGTTACTAAACACAACAGTGAGATTCGATTTGTTGCGAGCGTGGTTTCAAGAAAAAATTTGGGTCACCGCAAGACGAATTTAATCTTGGACCTTTGGATTCTGCGATCTGATGCTCAACCATTAGGCAAAAGAGAGCAGCGGATCATTCGGATCGCGTACTCTAAAGGTCTTAGGTGTGATTCATCGAGGGAACTAACTTTTTCATCGCCCCATCCTTGTCACAAGAAGAATAATATCTTTCATTATGCCTTAAACGAACGCAAAATCTACCATCTTTCATTTCTAAAAAGTAAATAGTTATTCGTACCAACTATAAACCAGTTTTTCGGGGGTTCTCGATATCCGTCACATAAGCTATAGTCCAGAGTAATATCCAACTTATAGACCCCTGGGTCCATAACAAGAAACAAGAACTCGTATGTTCCATTTCCGTGATCAAACATTGTAGGTGACACAGTGGCCGGACCGAGAAGCAACACGCGCCACGAGTCGCCGCCAA